GCTCCTGCTCCTGCTCCTGCTCCTGCTCCTGCTCCTGCTCCTGCTCCTCCTCCTCCTCCTCCTCCTCCTCCTCCTCCTTCCTCAATTGTAAACACGATTTATCCTAATCTAATACCATAAAACCTCGTCAACCATGCAAACTTACAAGGCTTCGCTCCCTCCGGAAACCCTTTAAACACCTCAGAGAGAAATTAAGAGCAAAAAAAAAAGAAGAAAAGAGAAGAAAAAAAAAGAGAGAGAGAGGAAAAAAAAAAAAACAATTTACCTCATGATGCTATTTCCGAACCGATCTTCATTCTTTCCCCCCCTCTTTTTTCATCCCCCTCCTCCCCCTCCCTCCCACCCACCATTTTGTCCCCCTCTCTTTCTTTTTTTTTTCCCTTTTTTTTTCTTCGGCCGTCTCGAGATTTCTCCCCCCCCTTCCGACGCCTGTAATTCGGACAACGATGTCAGATCAAGGAACGATCAGTGACTCGACTGATTGGATTTTCGTTCTATATATACACCGCTGTTTGCTGTCACGTCCCCCGCGCCGCTCCCTCCTGATCTGATCAAGCGAAGTACCTAAATTGAATAGTAAAAGGTGTGTGTGTGTGTGTGTGTGTGTGTGTGTGTGTGTGTGTGTGTGTGTGTGTGTGTGTGTGTGTGTGTGTGTGTGTGTGTGTGTGTGTGTGTGTATGTGTGGGCGTGTGTGTTTGCGTGTATGTGTGTGTGTGTGTGTGGGCGTGTATGTGCGTGTGCGTGTGCCTATGTGCCCATAAGTAATATTGCCTATGCATATATATAAGCGAAAACTACCCCGCAATCTAGCTAATAAGAACATCCTCCTGCAACCTGTGGAGTCACGAGTTCATCTAATAACTAACAAAGCTCATTTCCTACACGCAACAAGAGCAAGGAATAACAGCAACAGAAAAGGAAAAATATCTAACTGTAGTAAAACGAGAGGGAAGCTGGCTGGTAACTACGCCAGTGTTGCCAGCGCTAAGTTGGCACTCGTTCATCAGCCTCGCCTCCTCCCCCTCCTTCCTCCTCCTGTCTTCCCCTTCCCCATTCTCTCTCCTCCTTCCCTCCCCCTCTCCTCTCCTTCCTCCTCCTGTCTTCCCCTTCCCCATTCTCTCTCCTCCTTCCCTCCCCCTCTCCCCTCCTTCCTCCTCCTGTCTTTCCCTTCCCCATTCTCTCTCCTCCTTCTCTCCCCTCCTTTCCCCTCCTGTCTTCCCCTTCCCCATTCTCTCTCCTCCTTCCCTCCCCCTCTCCTCTACTTTCCCCTCCTGTCTTCCCCTTCCCCATTCTTTCTCCTTCTTTTCTCCTCCTCTCCCCTCCTTCCCCTTCCCCATTCTCTCTACCCATTCCCTCCCCCTCTGCCCTCCTTTCCCCTCCTGTCTTCCCCTTCCCCATTCTCTTTCCTCCTTCCCTCCTCCTCCTCCCTCCTTCCCCTCCTGTCTTCCCCTTACCCATTCTCTCTCCTCCTTCCCTCCTCCCCCCTCCTTCCCCATCCCCTGTCTTCCCTTCCCCATTCTTTCTCTTCCTTCCCTCCACCCCTCCTCCTTCTCCCCTCCTGTCTTCCCCTTCCCCACTCTCTCTCTCTTCCTTCCTGAAGAGTCCCCTTCCACTCCTTCCTCATCTTTTCCTTCCTCCCTCGCCCTGTATCTTCTTCCCTTCTTCTTCCCTCCATCCTTGTCTTTCCCCAACCCTCTCCCGCCTCTCCCTCCCCCCTCCCCCAGGCGAGCGCTCACTTTCCGGTGAAATGGGGAGGAAGAATGCTTTAAACGAAGGGTAACGAATGGGGCAAGAGAAGAAGGCGGAAGCCAGCCAAGGATATGAGGAGGAGAGAAAAGAGGAAGATGAAAAAAAAAGATGAAATACGTCGTAAAAGAAAAGAATAATAGCGAAAGAAAAGAATAATCGCGAAGGAAAATAATAAAGGAAAACAAGGAAACGGGGAGGAAGAGGGGGAGAAGGAGAGCTAGGGTTCCCTGAGAAAACGAGAAAATATGGAAGGGAGAAAGTGAGGGGGAGAAGGGGCAAAGAAAAAAAAAAAGGAAGAGGGAGTGTAAGAGAACGAAGGAGAGGGAGTAGGAGAGGGAGTAGGAGAGGGAGAGGGAGAGGGAGAGGGAGAGGGAGAGGGAGAGGGAGAGGGAGAGGGAGTGGGAGTGGTAGAGGGAGAGGGGAAGGGAGTAAAGGGAGAGAGAGGAAAGAAGGAAAGGGAAAGGGAAAAGGGAGAGGGAGCGAGGGAGGAGTAAGAGCAGCAGTAGTAGTAGTAGGAGTAGGAGTGAGAGTCAGATTGGGTGTCGTAGACGGAGACGGAGAAGGGGAGGAAGACGAAGAAGGCGACGAAGCTAGAGAGGAAGAAGGAGAGGGAGACGGAGAGAATGGGCGGGGGGCGGGGGGGCAGTACCTAGAGCAGGTGTCGCTTATGGTTGCCGCGGGAGTAGTAACATAACCACTCCATCCGCTGCACAGAGTAAATATAACGGAATTGCCCTCATAAAAAAATATAAGAATGTAGTTCATGGCTTCATCCATTTCCCGCCAATAAGGCCAGACCTCTACCCTTGACGGAGGGAAGCTTCACGAAATATTTTAAAATGTAGACTAAATACACATTTCCTCCCCAGGAAAATGAAATAAACATATCTTGATTTTCCCAGTAAGAATGAAACATAATACAGTGATAAGTAACGTAACAGTCCTTTCATTCTGAGTCGTGTATAGAAAACGTTGCAACGGTGATTCTCGCTGAGCAGCGAATGGGAAAAGAAGATTCAGAATGATAACAAAAATTATGATAAAGCATAATAATGACACTAATATTACTAATAACAATAACTTTCAATACAATAAAAATGTTACCTTAACACTGCATTACATAACCAAGAAAAATGACCTCAACAGGAATTATTAAGTTCTAGTTAGTAAACCAAAATAAAAAAAAAAAAAAAAAAAAAATACAAATGACAAGGGGTCTCTGGAAGTGCGAAATGCTAATCGCTTATCTGAAAAAGATAGATGGAGGGAGGGAGGAGAAGAGGAGAGGAAGGGGAGAGGAAAGGAAGGGGAGAGGAGAGGAAAGGGAGAGGAAAGGAAGGGGAGAGGAGAGGAAGGGGAGAGGAGAGGAGGAGGAGGAGGAGGAGGAGGAGGAGGAGGAGGAGGAGGAGGAGGAGGAGGAGGAGGAGGAGGAGGAGGAGGAGGAGGAGGAGGAGGAGGAAGAGGAAGAGGAAGAGGAGGAGGAGGAGAAGAAGGAGGAGGAGGAGGAGGAGGAGGAGGAGGAGGAGGAGGAGGAGGAGGAGGAGGAGGAAAAGAAGAAGATGATAAGGAAAAAGAAGAAGATAGAGTAGAAAAGGAAGAAAATAAAATAAAAGATAAAGCAAAACGAGAACGAGAAGAAGAAAAGAGAAAGAAAACGCGCAGGACGAGAAGGAACAGAAGCGTAAGATGGAAGCGGAGAAAAATGAGAAAGAAAAAGAAAACTGGAAGTTCGAAAAGAAAGAAAAAGAAGAAAAAAAAAGTTAGGTCAGTAACGAGGGTGAGAGGGGGGGAGGAGGGGAGGGGGCGGCGAAGGAGAGAAGTCGGGAGGGCGAGCGAGCGACCGAGCGGGAAACGTGAAAGGAGGGAAAAATCAATGAGCAGCCCGGCCGTTTCGGGGCTAATCGCCAGGGGGAGGCCCACGGGGGAAGCCGAAGGAGCCCCTGAGATGAACACGCCCCCTGAGGGAGAGACCTCGAGGGCCACCGGGAACTCTCTCGCCCACCCACCCGCCCGCCCGCAGTGCTGCAGCTGGTGCCGTTCCTTCACGTTGTGCCCCTCGCTTGGCCTACGGAGGGAGGAGAGGGGTGGGGAAGGGAAGGGGAGGAGAGGGGAGGGGAGGGGAGGGGAGGGGAGGGGGAGGGGAGGAAAGTGGAGGGAGAAGAGAAGGGAGGGAGAGGGGGGGGTAGGAAGGGAAGGGAAGGGAGGGAAGGGAAGGGAAGGGAAGGGAAGGGAAGGGAAGGGGAGGGAGAGGGAAGGAGGAGAGGAGGAAGGGGAAGGAGGGAGAGGAGGGAGAGGGAAGGAAGGGGGAAGGTGAGGGAAGGAAGAGACAGGAGGGGAGGGGAGGAAGAGCGGGG